GGCTTAAAAGACCATCATCTGCAAGAGGTGTCGTTTGTAAAGAGAAGTAGAAGAGTTGGATTTGTATCCCGTCCTTCACTCGGAGTCCCAGAACGGCTTACAATCTCCTTCCCTTCCTCTCCCCACAACAGATACCCTGTGAGGTAGGTGGGGCTGAGAGAGCTCTTTCGAGGACTGCTCTGGAGAGAACAGCTCTGAGAGAGCTTGTGACTGACCCAAGGTCACCCAGCTGGCTGCGCGTGGAGGGGGGGGGAATCAAACCCAGTTCTCCAGATTAGAGTCCCTAAGCACTATACCAAACTGTGCCAAATCTATGGTGTGGCCTTGTTTGGAATACTGTGTACACTTCTGGTTGTCGTTACCGCAAAGAAAGGACATTGTGGAGGTGGGGAAGTGCAAAAGGTGGCAACCAAGATGATATAAGAGGCTAAAGTACCATTCTTATGAGGAAGGGCTGAAGAGTCTGGGGTTTAGAAGAAGAGTGAAGAAGACACAGGATAGACTACACATGGGGTGGAGAATGTGGGTAGAGAGAACTTTTCCTCCCTCTCCACATGGTAGTAGAACTCAGGGGCACCCACGTTGATGGGGCAATAGATTCAATAGGAAATACTTCAGTGATTAAGTTATAGGATTTGCTGTCTGTAGACACTGTGATGGTCTGGAGCATAAATAGCTTTTAAAGGGGGCTAGGTAGATTTATGGTGGCGAAGAGGGTTAGACAGATTTATGGTGGTCCATCAGTGGCTGCTGGCCGTGTCGAGTAAAGCGAACCTCTGAAACCCGGTGTTAGCAGCATCACGGGAAGCCTGGGCCTCTGTGCCCTCTTTATTGGCTCTCCAGGGCAGCTGGCTGGCTGCTGTGTGCAGCAGGGTGGAGGGCTAGATGGACCACTGGCCTGATCCTGCAGGGGTGTTTTTAGGTTCCTGTTCTACCACTCCACTGAGCTGATGGTGGTGCCTTCCTCTGATGTGGTGGAGGAAGGTACCACCAGTATCTGGAGCTTGCTATCACAAGGCACCAAGAAGGCTGCTGGCTTTAAAAGGAAGTTAGATCGATTCCCAGTCATGGCAATGGTTTAACTTTGTGCAAATTACATTGAGGAATGTTTCTTCTACCGGGATACTCAGGAAGATCCTCTGTGTCTCCTACAAAAAAAATATCTCCCACAGTTGCCCCATACAGAAAATCTGCCTTTGCCTCTCTTTATGATGCCCTTGTTGCTTTTTCACTGACTTCTCTTAAAATAATTATGGTGGCACAGACAAATCTGAGAACACTTTTCAGGGTTTCCAGTTGGTATGTAATAATATACCTTTCCGGACACACTTGGCCCAAGTTTGAAATGCTCTTAAAATTAAGAGTAGTGGTATTTGTCCTTGTGGTGATTGTTAGGGAACGCTTGTCTTTTCAGATTAATTCGTAGGCACCTTTTCGTGTATAAAGCAAAATCTGAACCGGAACTTTGCCTCAGAGGGGAAGGTCAAGGAGAAGTCTTGCATCCATATTCTAGTTATATAATTTCTCACAATGATGATCCAGGACTCTGCTGGGAATCTCTCTCTCTCTCTCTCCTCCCCCCCCCCCCTTCCAGGGCTGCTGCTTACAGCAAACTTGGGAATTATGCCGGAGCAGTTCGAGACTGTGAAAGGGCGATAAACATCGATCCCAAATACAGCAAAGCCTACGGCAGAATGGGGTAGGCCTTTCCTTACATCAGCTTCCCGACACCTTAACTGCTGGACTTTGGCTGCTGATGCTGACCCTTGTCAGCCTCTCGTACACGTATTACACGTATTACACGTATTTATTACACATATTACACATATTACACATATTACACATATTACACATATAGTATATTACATATTATTATGTATATTATTCATCCTCTCCTATAGTGTTGATAGAGAGCAGAAAGCTCAGCAGCAA